TTATTCTTTTTTTTATGGTTTTGTTTGTTTTGTTTGTAGGGTAATTTGAATGGTGGGTTCAGGATTTAGGATTTTAATCTAAAAAATTCCAGGATCTGTAAAGTTGAATCCTTGTTGATAAATAAATGAAAAAGGATTTCTGTTGTTGGTGAAGGTACCCTTTATTTATTTATTTATTTAAATAATCTCTCGGTTAATATTTGTCAGTCTTTTCACATGCTAAAACCTGGATTAAATGGAGATAGATTGATTATGTATATTCTTAACATATAAATAGTTGGTTAATTAAGGTTATTGTCTGCCTCTGTCAATCTGGGGGTGATACGAGGACAATTTTTTAAGATGATAGTTGAGAAACCAAGGACTGGGTTTATCCTGTTTGCTCAGTCTTTTTCAATTACAAAAATAATTTGTTACTTGTATTAGATTATGATTTGAAGTGTTTGTTTCTAGGGGAAAAAAACTTAATTTCTAGCCAGAATTAGTTCTGTAACCTACCAAAGAAAGAAGTGATGGAAATAAATGTGTAATTAATGAATTTTAAGGTTGGTACTTGTGGTGATGATGACAAATCAATGACAGATGTCAATGGTGATGTTGGTGTTTGTATTTATTTTCCTACTTTTTCATGCTTTTTTCCACCTTTTGCCCCTCTGCAATGTGGTATATATGGACTCTTTTACCTATATGGTGAAACGCAGATGGTTGTTGATTTCACTGCGTCATGGTGCGGACCCTGCCGTTTTATCGCACCCTTCCTGGCTGAACTGGCCAAGAAGCTTCCCAATGTCATGTTTCTTAAGGTGGATGTGGATGAGCTGAAGGTAATAATGCTTGCAGAGTTAAAAAAACAGAATTCTATATCATCATGAGTGGAAATGTCAAGAAGTGAAAAAAATGTTGATCGAAGTTGGTTTTTTTTTTTTTTTTTTGTTCTTGTTTTCAGGAAGTTGCTACGGATTGGGCTGTGGAGGCTATGCCAACTTTCATGTTCCTTAAGGAGGGGAAGATTGTGGACAAGGTGGTGGGAGCAAAGAAAGATGATCTTCAGCAGACTGTGGCAAAGCATATGGCTTCTGCTTCTGTTTGATTATGATAATCATTAGTATATATTTATCTTCATGTTTGGAGGAATTTACAATAGACCTCGTTATCGTGTGCTGCTACAAATCTAAACATCTCTATGTTTGACCTTCAGTTTGTTTCTATATCTTGCGTGTTTCTTAGTACTATCTGCCCAGATGTTGATAGATTGCTGGTTTCATTTTCTGTGGAAATGTATGTTCACTTCCAAGTTAAGGGGACCATGTCCATTTGAGTGCTGATATTCATTTTCAATCCTCATGGTACCCAAATTCATCAACTTAGTTTAACGGTTTGTTGAAATTTGTGTAGTTTGTCAATATCTAGGATTTGCTGGTTAGATGACAAAAACTGATGAGGCATGTTTTTAGAACAGAAAATGACTTGGAAAATTCATCTCGGACTTCGCTGGGCTGTATCTATACATGTTTAAAGCCCAGGTGCCAAGGGGATTGAGATTGGTATACATTTCTCAGGAGGCTTAGATGACTTGGGGTTCCACTTTAAGCTGTTTCAGCTCTAACAGTGATGTGGGAAACATGATTCCTGGATTAACATTAGGAATTACAGCATTCAACCAGAAGGGAAAGACAGGGAAACAACTGGAAAAGAAGGCACTTTAATCAGGAACTGCACATTGAACAATGATCATACTAGGAACCGCTCCCAACATGAACCTAATTGGGGTTCAAATTTTCCCCCAGGATACAAACAGAAATCACACCAATACAAAGTAATCTTTTTCTCCGGTGCCCGTATCCGGTTAAAAGCCCGGGGAGGGGACACAGGCCAGAAATTTGACCTCAGGGACCAAAATTGCAGGACCCACAGGACTTCAGAAACTCACCTATCTTACAATCACTGATTTACAGGAGTCTATTAACCCCACTTAACTCAAGATTAAAAGAACTGACGGCCTACAGCACCGAACACCTGTCGCCAGAGCCCTCCATTTGAAAAGCTGTGGCACTCAACCTAACCTAAACTAAACGCCTATTCTTTGCACTCTTCCTTTTATTTGCTTCTTTGCTGCTTGCTTGAAATGCTGATAAAGTATGGTTAAATTACTAGATGCGAACATTACTGAGTTGTTCTGTCACTCTTTTGATCTGGTTAACCCCCCCAGTTTGGTTGCCCTGCTGTTGAAGTTATTGGAGCACAAGCAGCTTCGACTGACAACCGCTTCAACACATTTGGACATGGATCTTGGCCAAAATTACTGTTGGCTATGGTGACAGCACATCTTTGCTTCCCTATGCACTTCTGCAAAACATGGTAGAACATGATAAGAAATGCATGATTGCGAGTTTTAGTTTAAGTTTATTTTGTTGACAAGAAAGTGAAAATACCTTCTCCAAGATGGCATATGAAGCAGGAGCATGGCAAGGGCCCTGCTGGTAACTTCCACAAGTTCCCAGAGGGGTTCCAAAGCTTGCAAATTTAATGAAAGAGATAGCCTGCCCAGGATTACAGTGCAAGTGAACCTTGGGTCTGTGGAAATCTTCTGCCTTTCCATAGCTTTCAATCTGCCAGTTCTTGATATTTGGGTGATACTCAGAGACCTCAGCACAAACACTGGACACAGATCTTTTCACGAGTGAGATTCTTGAGGGATCTCCTCCAAGCTCCTCAAAAATAACCAACAGATTTTGTGTAGGTTTCAACCAAGACCGAGGAACATGGTACCTGAATAAAATAAGAAATTGGAAATTAAATGATAAAATATTATTAATTTAAGGCCATTTGCTGCTTACTTGACCACACAGAAGAGTAGTACCATCTTTGGGTTGGTTGGCCACAACCAAGCTGACACTTTGGAGGTCGAAATGTACCAGCATAACTGCAGCCATTGCAGTCACCATGAGCATATGCGGTCCAATATCTACCAATGCTCTGCCCATTAATCCATATTTGACCTTTACCCATACTTTCCATGTCCAAAGCCAATGGCTCGTCAGCCTCAGGTGCATTGAAATAAGCCTGCAATGTTAAAGGGAAAACATTGGAATTTCTAGAAGCCACAACTCATGCTGCATCTACTTTATATTTTTCATTTTTATTTACCTTATGCCATCTTAAAGGCTGCTGTTTTTGTGCAGCCAATGATCCCTCCATCCACTCAACAGAGGAAATACTATTTGGTGAGACAAGATTCATTGCCTCTCCTTTAAGCCCAACCTGTTCAAAGAGGCAGTCATGATCAAACTTATTTGATTCAATGATGAAGACATTAAAGACAGGTCGAGTCCACTACCTGGTAAGTCCATTTTTGCCAGGACAGGTCCCATTTTCCTTGGTCAAGTCCATGCAGTGCAACTGGACCCAGGATTCCTGTGTTCCATGTCTCGAAGTGTCCCCCTACATTCTTTATCACCAAAAAAATACAAGTTATGTACCCTATAAAAAACACAATAACCAAGCCATTGTTTTCTTCCACCAATTTTCTTTAGCTTCATCATATAAGATAAAGTTGCCATTTTATGATTGCCTAAGCTGTGAAAGTTTTCTATGCTTTTCCTACCCCTGGTTAGAGGATGATACTTAATGATTTGATGTACAAAGTAATAAAGATTGGGGGGAAAAACTTACTGGCAATCCAACAGCAACACTCAGCAGTGCAATTCTGTTAGTACCTGCACGCAGATTGACCTTCCCAGTATATGTGAATCTCCTATTTTGCCTCGTTCCAAAGGCAGAACCTGTTACCACCATGTTACAATTTTTATTTCTGAAAAGAAAAAACGAACAGTCCATGGAAAAAGCAATATAACTATGTACCTGAAAGCTGTCCATTGATAAAGATGTGTACAGCATGGCCTGTTGATTGAACAATGAGAGTGGGGAGTTCCCCTCCATGAAGGAAGGATTCAGATGAACCAATGTTAACGCTGTAACATATAATATCTAATTATGAGAGATTTCCAAAATTTAAGAATCAGCAAGCATCATAAAACCTTAAATTGGCTTCAGTAATGCTGCTCAAAGACATTTATTTGCCAGTGAGTCTTCTAACATATTGAATGCAAATTCAGGCAAACAATGCAGAAGAGCAAGCTATAATTAAAGTTTCTTCAATAGGCATTCCCCCTCTCTCTCCCCCCAAAAGAAAAAGAAAACAGGGAATATCTCTATTGCCGTTTCTTTTCGATTCTGATTTGATCTTCTAGGAAAGAACAAAATAAAGGGATAGCAGAGCAATAAGAAATGATGAATCAGAAACACAGTACTTTTCTCTTCTTCAAGCTAAAAACTCCCTCCCACCTACTCTCATCCCTAAAATGATAAAAAGCTGGAGAAAAAGGAACCATATATAAATTAAGAATGAGGAAAGAATAAAAAATCCCTTCACATCTAACTATGGGGGCATCAGTCTCACCTGGTAATGTACCATAAGTAATCACTTGCATCCCTTGTGACATTTATTTGTTCTAATAGACCATCAGCAGTAATTGTTGAGCTGTCATCCAGAGAAGAAGCATCTTCATCATAACTTTCCCAAGAGATCATCTCAGCATTTGTTGGCAACATCTGCATTTGTGATGTCTGAACTCCAACCTGAAAAGGACAAACATGACCAACTGTCATTTAAGAGATCCTTAAACTTTTTAAAACTTATCTAAAAAGTTCACGTCCTTAAAAATATGCTTCAGTTACAATAATACTGAACCTGATGATGCAAATTCAGTCATTTCACAATGTCATACCTTAGCAGTATTAAATACTGCATTCCTGCAATCAGGAAGGATGCTGATGGACCAAGGAGGCAAGTTATAGTGCATGTTGTTAAATAACACTCTTGCAGCAGATTTGGTATCATAGTTCGATAGGAAAGCTGCACAATCTCCTGATTCTGATGTGTACATATAAGCCTGGAAAATGCCAAAGATTGATTAGATTCAGTAAGCAATTAAAATCCCCCATCTGCTGGAAGCAGAGCACTTTGAGAGTCAAAGCAGAAACCTGCTGGAAGCTTCCGAGTGAAGTGACAATGGGATCTGCTGAAACTAAAGCTCGCTCAGACATCTTAATAGCCCTGTGAAGCTCCTTTAGATGACCATACTTAGGTTGTCTAATCAAACCTGTCATGTTTTTGTGGGAAGTAGTTAGTAATGCATTAGTGGTTGCTAACCAAAACCAATGGCCTTCACATAAACTCTAAGTGCTATAAAAAGATTGAGGTTGGATTAGAGGGGAGGCAATTGGAAGGGGTGCATAAAACCATATCTTCCCATTTTGTAACCCAACTAATGGTTCGAATGAAATAAGTATATATATAAACATCAGCAAACAAAAGCAAAAGAATTGAATTTATATTGTTTTTCAGTTCAAATGCTATTGTTGTGAGGCACGGACTGTAAGGTGCAACCATTTTAAGTGTTAAAGCAATTTAGAAGAGCAGTTGCATATCAAACAAACTGAAAACACTAAAAGAAGATGATACTTTAACAGAACAAACTATGTAGAGATAAGCAAATAGCTTTTTTTCTCACCATATTCATCTATTGGAGCATCATAATCGTAACTGGTAGTGATGAAAGGGCCTCCAGCTGTACGTCCAAAATTGGTCCCTCCATGGTACTATTTCACATGGTTAACACTCAACTCAGTTAAAGAGTATCAGGTTTTCTATTGTGAATACTTCATGCCATTCAAAGAAGTGAATAAAAAGAGAGAAAAATGGGGGAACCAACCATGTAATAATTAACAAAGGATCCTCCTTTTTGTATGAATCGTGCAACAGCAAATGCCAAATCTTCAGCTGGCCGATGGTGAAGTGGACCACCAAACTCTGTGAACCTTTTGGACAATCAAAGACGAAAAATGGTTGGACTTCATTTCATATTAGACTCTTCAAATTAAGGTTACAAAAGAAAAAAACATGATAAACTTACCATCCACTCCAAGCCTCTGTCCACATTGTTGGCTTGTAGGGTTTGTTGGGTTGGAATGTATCGCAGTAGAAACCATTGCATGTGTTTATCTATTACAGGTACCCATGACACTCCCTTAGCAATCCTCATTGTACAAATTAAATTGAGATTTAAGATAAACAGAACACCGTATATTTGACAGTTGGATACAAGAAATTGGGCTTTGTACACATTGATACTCATTAACTTATCCTTCAAAGTTTAAGACCATAGAGCAAGAGACTTGAGATGCTGAACAAAGATCTGAGGGCTAATTACTTACCACTGGATCTGGGGCATCTTCTTCCTTGCACATCACCCATGGGACCCCA